CGTTCTCAATCCCCCCCCCCCCCCCCCCCCCAGTTGTCCCAGCGCAAATGCCGCGTCGCATGGGCAGGAGGCCTTCTAGAAACCGGCGTGACTGGGAAGCGGCTGAGCTGCTTGTGCAAATCCCCCCCATAGGTCTCGCTGGAACTGGCTGGAAGCTCCTACGGAATCACACGGTGGCATTGGGGTTGGGGGCTCGGGCATAGGGCTCTGGAGTGAGATTGCAGAGCTCTAGGGTCTGTCCCCAGCCCAGCTACACACGCCCCATTGGACCTGCCCCCTCTCTCTGGCCCCTTGTCCCCATCGGTGCAACTGGGAGGATTCCTCTTTCATCTGTGTGGGCTGCAAGCGCTGGGGCGGGGCGGGGTCTGTTTCCATGGAGCCTTCACTGCAGCGGAGGCTCCTCGGGGTAGGTCTGTGGACTGCGTGTTTCCAGGACCGTGTCTGAGCGTCCGCGCTGCATAGAATCCTAGAACTGGACGGGCCCTCGAGAGGGCAAGTCCCATCCCCGGCCCTACGGCAGGACCAAGCACCGTCTAGATCGTCCCTGACAGGTGTCTGTCCAGCCTGCTCTTAACCGTCTCCAGTGATGGAGATTCCACAACCTTCTAGGCAATTTTTCAGTTCTTAACCACCCTGACAGTGAGGAAGTTTTTCCTAATGTCCAACCTAAACCTCCCTCGCTGCAATTGAAGCCCCTTGCTCCTTGTCCTGTCGTCAGAGGCCCAGAAGAACAATTTTTCTTCCTCCTCCTTGTGACACCTTTGTAGGTAGTTGAAAACCGCTATCATGTCCCCGCTCTGTCTTCTCCTTTCCAAACTAAACAAGCCCAGTTCTTTCAGCCTTCCCTCCTAGGTCCTGTTCTCTAGGCCTTTCATCATTCTCGTTGCTCTTCTCTGGGCCTTCTCCAATGCCTCCATCTTTCTTGAACCATGGTGCCCAGACCTGGACGCAACACTCCAACAGGGCCCTTATCAGGGCAGAGCAGAGCAGAAAACATGGCATCGTAAACCTGGGCTGCCCCTTTGTCCTACAGCCAGTGAATGCGCCCACCCTGCCCTGTACCAAGCTTCTGACATGGGTCTGCAGCTTGAGCTGCCTCCGCCCTGCACTATGAGAGCTCGGCCCTGTGTCTCGGCGGCTCAAACCCGCCCCTCCGGGTGGCTCTAGGGCTCCCCAGTGCTCCCTGACCAGAGGCAGGGAGGTTAGTGTGTGGATGGCAGGGGAGGCCGGGCCCAGAATGGAGTCAGGGTTTCCAGGGCAGTGTAGACAGACCGTTGGTGCTACCGGGATCCACCTAGGACACAGTAAAGCACGAGGGGGAGGGGCTGGTGTCTGTGGGCTTTGTCGTTAAGACGTCGGTAGGAAAACGAGTCGCTCAAAGCAGCGTATCTCTGCAGGACGGGATTCTTCAAGCTGACGGACCATGGCCTGGAGACGATCTCTTCCTGCCGGCAGAAGGGCTTTCATCCGCACAGCAAAGATCCACCCCTCTTCACCGTAAGTACCTGAAGAGAAGGGCCACTGAGAACGGCAGCTTGTTCAATGGATCCCTACGTCTTAGCGATGCTGCAGGGCTGGGCTGCAGTCGGGGGGAGGAAGGGGCGGTGACGCCCCCCCATGGAACATGTGGGAGCCTGGTCTGGGATAATAAATGCAGGGCTGGGGGGGAGCTGGACTCCTGGGTTCTGTTTCACACCCTGATTGGCGTGCTGGCCGTTGGCAAGTAGCCGTCCTGCTGAGGCCGTGGTGAGAGCGCTTTGAACGCCTTGCTAACGGGGGCGGTCGTCAGGTTTGTCCACGGAGCAGCTTTAACTCTAGAGCTTGTTCCTGTGTCTCAGGCTGTCTTGCCCCTCCTCTAAGGGAGGCACCATGACCCAGTGGACAGAAAATAGGGACTCGGGGCATCAGGGCTCTACTGCCAACTCTGCCAATGACTTGCTGTTTGACCTTGGGCAAGTCACTCCATCCCCTCTGCGTCTCAGTACTCCAGCTAGAAAATGCTGCCTCCGATTTGTAAATACTTCAGCATCTACCGATGGCGGGTGCTTTAAGTGCAAAGTAGAACTTATTCCTGGCAGAAGGGATGGGTTGATGAGTAGGACACTGGACTTGGACCAGACAGACCTGGGTTCAGATCCTGCTTCAGCCTCGGACTCCCTGTGGGACCTTGGCCAAGTCACTTAATGTACCAGGGTCTTCCCTCCAGATTGTACAATGGGGCTGCCTGACCTCACAGAAGGTGATGTAAGACTCGCCTCTGCTGACGGGGATCGTCCAGTCAGGGCCATAGGCGTAGGGTCGATGGGCTGCAAGGGATGGGGATGTTTGAACAACTTTCCTCTTTCTTTCAGAGCTGCACTCATGTGTCGATAGCTGAGAGAGACGTGGCGCTGATGGATCTTCGATAATCCCACTGCCTTAACCCACCTCTTTGCCAGGGAAGATCGAACTTGTAGGCCGAGGGAAGCTTTTCCTCCGTAGCAAACGATTTCCACCGGCCAAAGTGATTTTCAGTAGTGGCGGTGAGGGTGGTCATCTCCTCTCGGACGCACGAGGTCTCTGCCACCCCTCTGGTGTCGGGGGATGGTGAGATTCAGGGGGAGGGAGGATTAATTTGGATTGAAAGGAAAAGAAAAGAAAAAGCCAACACTACAAGGATTATCTGCTCCAATAATCAGTCCCTCTGCGACCCTTCCAGTGAGGTTCATGACGACAGCTGTGGCCCTGAGGCTTGGCCAGGGGATGGGGGTGACTGGAGAGCCCTGGAAAGGAAGCTCGTGCCAAACTCGGATCCCCAAAAACTTCCCCCCTTCTCTGTGCCCTCCACAGCTGATAAGTGCCCCATGGATTGCAGTGGGCTGTAGATCAGCACGTTTGTTAAGCCGCAGGGGGCCTCAGGCTCGCACTGAGCTCCCTTTACAGTTGCGTCCTCACCGCACTGGGCCTCCCGTGTGCCGAGAGCATCATGAAATGGGACCTCAGGATGGGTCCCTCAAAATGGGACCTCCCCTGTGGTGCAGCCACTCCAGGTTAGCACGGGAGTGAGGAGCAGCCCCACAGCAGGCCGTGCGCTCGAGAGGAAACTGGTTTCAGTTGCGCAGTTGCCATAAACAGTGGGTTAAATCTTCCAAGGGACAAAATGTAATGGGTGTGGGGAGAAATGCGACCCTTTGTTTTCCTACGGTTCCGAATGGGCACTAAGGCTGGGCTTTGTTCTGCTTCGGTAATCGCTCAATGTGGACGTAAGAGGGTCATTTCTTATGGAGGACTCGAGCAGTAGGAAAGTCCCCTAGCTCAGCTGTGCTGCCCAGGTGAGGCCGCTTCTGGTGGGTTGACACCCAGCTGGAGAGATGGAACGGCCCTGTCCTGCTTCTAGCCTGGGAGTCCCTCGGTAGATTAATTCCTGCGGTAGGAGTACCGGAACTGGTACTGAGCGTAACCAATCTAGAGAGACTCCACGTGGGGCTTCTTAGCTGGGGGACGGCTGCATCCCCTTTCTAGGTCCGTTTCCCAGTCTGTAGACCGGGAATGATGAAATGGACCGTATCTCTGTCAACCGCTTTGAGAACTAGCGACGAAAAGCGTCCTGCAAGGATTGTGCTTCAGGAGCGGCAGGCCTGTTCCCAGGCATGTGGGGCAGGGTACCCCGGAGACCGCACTGGGCAAGAAAACACTTAGAACCTTGCCAGGCCCGGGTCCTCATTCCGTCCTTCAAACACCCCTGGAGATGGGCCAAGTTGGGATCCAAATGCCTCCCTGTTAGGATTCAAGTGATGCCTCAAAGAATCTTCTCTCCATCTCCATAACTTCTCATTGCTGCTGCCTGACTTCTCCCTAGAAAGTCATAGCAAGTTTAACTCGGGTCAAAGTTCACATCCCCATGAAGTCCGGAGATGACCTGTTGTGTAGCATCCCTGAATGCCAGCCACAAGTGTGACACTTTGTTCCTGTCAGATGCCAAACTGTGACTCTTCTTTCCCCCGTTGGTTCTGTCCCAGTGTCTGTTAGTCTCGAGAGAAGAAATGGAGATAACCAAGTATTAGGCCCTGTTCCCGCTTTCTAATACTCTTCGTGCAGTCTAACTCTCTGATGTGTTAGATTAGCAATCAGCATTAAGTGCTAACAAGCTGGATTTTCTGCCTTGGAGTGAAAGACTTTAGGCTTTCATTCTGGAGTAGTTGACGGTAGTATGCGAGACATTAACCTCTTATGTTTGGGATCTCGTTCCTTTATCGACGCGTTTGGCTTTTCATCTGGAATCTAATATGTGCCCTTACTGACATGTTTTGCTGTATGATAATTGGCAAAAAAAATTCTTTGGTGTACAGTTTAATACAGATTGGAAATATTATTGTGGTGGGTGTGTTCTGTCATTAGTCATCCACCAGTCGTGTTCTGAGCTGATTTAACCTTTTTTCTCTTGGGCTACCAAAGGAGGGAGGGATTCCTCTTTTTATAGGTGCGGAAGTGACTTGTCCAGCATCCCACAGCTGGAGGGTCCTGGATTCCT